AACGTTTGTTTTCCTACATATTTTTGTTTTAATCACAAACTCTATTAAGAATCAATAATAACTTAATAATAACTTAATTTAAATTTCATTCTCATTCAAAATAAATATTTTCAAACAATTTCATATACATAAACATAAACATAAACAGCACCAACTGTGTGTATGTATGTTTGGGTGTACACATTTATCGAATACATATGCTTGCATTCACATCATATGAGTATATGAGCACTGCAGTGTTATTCCTTTAATTTTCCATAGAAAAATCTAAAAACAAATTTAAGAAAAACAACAACAAATGCGTGAAGCATGAATGCACAATGCTTACACAAACAGAAAACCACACAAAAATAACAAATGGTTTGAGCGCAGTACGTCACAACAACAATTTGAGGTAAAAGACGCTATTGATGTGCCCTAATTGTTTGCTTTTCTTTTTACACTTGGTTTTGTGTTTTTGTATTCATTGAGCTTTGTTTGTTGATGCATCAATATTTTCACCTCTAATGGTGTGTTAAGTAAGTCAACATTGTATGCTTTTTACCACGATATGTTACATTAATATTTAGTAATTTTCATTAATTTATATATTTTGAGTTTTTTTAGTTTGAATTACGGAATGTTTTTTATAAAGAAAAATTTAACATTGAAAATATTTTTACATGTAGGTATATAATTTGATTATTATATTATCAATATATAATACATTATATATTGATATATATAATTTGATACTATTTTTTTTCATTTTTTAAGTGGTTTAATACTATGATGATTTCACCATTACAGACCTTCGGTATATTCGAATTTTTATTATTAATATTAGAAAGGTTTTTCTAATAAAATTGTATTTCATTGAAACGAAAATATGTACCTATATAGAATTTAACTTTATAATATGAATGAAGTTTTATGGCTGAATTTTTTATGCTGTAAGAAATCATCTGACCCGTTCTATCTTGTGGAAAAATACGCATTCGATTATTCATTCTGAAGATCAAATAGGGGAAAATCAATGTCATTTTGGTTTTCGTTGTAAGCGTAGGGGAAGTCTTATATCAATTGATGCCAACATTGAGCAATTGTAGTGCATTTCTTATGTGAATTGAAATGCAATATTGATGATAACCACCAATATCATTGTATTTGGTGATCGGATTGAATTTGTGTTGTTTGTGTTTTTTTTGCTGTTTTGTTTTGTGTATACTCTGCCATAAATAATGAATTATTCTACGTTTATTTGTTTTTATATTTTACGTTCACTATGTCTAAGACAAGTAATTCTAGCTTTAAATCCTAATTTAATTTTCTTTACGAAATGATCTTGATGTTTTGTTTTTACTAGGCAGCAGCAGTTTATTGGTTTGTTAAACCAATAAACTATTATTATTATACAATTATGGTTATTATATTTGTATGCGTATATGCGCAAGTGTAAATATAGATTAATATTAACACTATTTCTACATAAATTTGTTATTTAAAATTAAATTTATTAAAAATTAATAAAAATTTTTTTTTAAATAGTCAGAAAGGAATATATTTATCCTTTAGGAATAGAAATATTAATAGCAAAGGAATATATTTGTTTTTTCTTACAAGAAATTTTACTCTTAATAATTTTAGTATTCTAAAATTAAAAAAGGTTTATGCTTAATTTGTTATAAATATGAAATAAAAAAATATATATAAACTGATATAAAATATATATAATATAATATATATATATATATAATATGATATATATATATTATTTATATGTAAAATACATACATAGATATATTTTTAAAAAATTTTTGTTTATTTAATTCCTATCTGTTTATTTATAATTTTTTCCAATATTAATTTTTTATTAATGTTATCCATAATGAAAGCATAATTAAATAATCACTAATACTTAATATACTGTATATTAGCTTTTTCATATAATAGTATATATACTTCGTCGCTACATTATATGCATTTTTGTGATATATAATTTTTGTGTATTTACATATGTAGTATGATTTTATAGCAGGTCGATAGAAAGTAATCTTTTTAGTCGCTTTCTTCTTGTCAGTTCTTGTTGTGACAGAAAATTAATAATTTGAAACTGCATCAAAGTATATATTACTTTACACATTTCTTTTACTTTCTATTTGCCCGTATTTTAGTTGTCAAAATATGACGTATCAAATTACGTTCAAAATAATTTATTTGAATTTTAAATTATTTTTGGTGAAATAGAAATTTTGTTTACGGTTTATTTCGGTTGCGTTTTGCGCCGTTCAAAAATTTTTCATACACTTTGAAATTCTTGAAAAACAATAGAATTGGTTGGTTGAACAATTTGGTGTAAGCAGATTTGGAATATTGAAGTGGAGGCTCCATTGAGAGGTATGATATTCTTTATCTTTATAATTGAGATTAAAACTGTTAAATAATTCAATACAGTCTTTGAATTATGCTGAAATTTTTAGTATTCCGCGAAAAGATAGTATCGATATGTGAAATAAAAATCTATTTTTTGATATTTGCTTTCCTTTTACAAATTTGATCTATGAAAGAAAAACCTTTAGAACTTCTGGTTTAGATTAATAAATTTCCTTTATTCGTTTTGGGGAATTTTTAATTTCTTTTTTCGTAAGTAAAGATATAAACAATTACAATGCTTTTAACCATTAGCCGGAGGTACTTTTATAAACATTAAAAATTTCTGTAATTAAATAATATATTTTTATAATAAAGTACAATACTATATAAAGATTTTCTATTTGAGGACTTCTACTGGACCAAATATTGTTTTGGTTAAAATATGAGAAATTGTAAAAATATCGCTCACCATGGCCAAGAAGCACAAATACATATACAAGAAATTTAAGATTGCCTGCAATACGCGGAGTCAGGAGGTTGTTTTACTACGTTTGCGTAAAACCTGCTTCTGGGAATATATCCAAACAATTAATAGGGTCTTGCCTGAACCAATAAAACATGTCTACACCGTTGCAACTAGGCTCTTCAACATATTAGAAAAATTTTGGGAGAGAGCACGTACTTTGATGAACATATCGAATCATAGAGTTCTGTTGCGTATAGATAGACGTTATCTGAAGGATATCGTACAACGTCTATTGCACCCTGCTGATCTACTTGTTATTTATCCCATGATAGAAACTGTGTTAAATCTTGCGAAAAAGAAGAAAAAAAAAACGTCATCCAAATCGTGCAGAATTCAGGCGCGCAGAAGACGATATCGCTAGATTTACCACATATATATTTAAGTAGATGAATATGGTAAGAAGTATAGCGTAGATTGTGGTATTTTTTAAAGATTTTAAGTTTTAATTTTTAAAATTTAGATGACAAACAGAAACTGTGCGCTGTCCCCATCTTTTCGCAATAAAACCAAATTGTTTGACTGTCAAAATTAAATGAAATCAATAGAAAATTAAAGAACAGAAAGGATGAAGCTACAATAAAATGTGGTAAAGATTTTTGGATTAAAATTCTTTATCGCTACCAACAAATTGGATATACTATTTTTATAAAAATTGCAAGACTTTTTTTGGGAGAAATGCAGAAAAAAACAAAAATTTTACGAAACACTAAATTTTTTTTTCGAAAGTACTTTAAAAGGAATGGTAATGTGTTAAAAAAATTAATAAAAGTAGAGTATGTTTTCGAAGATGAAATTTTTTTATTTTACACTACAGATTTATGTACAATTTGCATATTTCGCGTTAAGTCTACAGTACATATATTTTTTGTATTTTATACATATATGTACACATAATACATATATATATATATTTATGCTATTTTCCTCTAACCGTTGGTAAATGTGTGAAAAATTACAGCAATATTGCAGACAACGTCTGAAATTTATTGCTGCTACTTAAGCGTATTTGTGCAGTAATTTTACAGAACGCTGTGACGGTAGCTGATAGCTACAAACTATTTTTCAGTGTTTTCATTTGTTCAGATATTTAAAAAAATGCCATGACAATAAAAAGTTTAATTAAGCATATCTTGTGGTTGATTTTAATGGCAATTCTTTATTTAGAGAACATCCCAACCCATATGTCACTTGCAACACATCGTATGTGCATGCAACAGAAATCCAATCGGTGGAACACTGTGTTCGCTACGAAAGTGATTAATTTTATGGATTATTTTTTTCGTTATATTGTATAGAATAAATTTTTTTGTATTAATAAACTGAATCAACTTTAACTTTCTTTAAAAACGGAAAGTTGAAGTGGAGAAATGAAATTGTCTCCTATAAGCAATTCTCCAGATCATTTATGCTGTATGTTGTGGTATAAGGCAGTTGAAATCATGTACCAGAACCTATAGAAATTCGAAAAAAATAATATTAAAAAGATATCAAAAAATCAGTGGTGTATTAGAAACTCTAATGCTTATAGAGATCTTAATACTGATATCATCATCAAGTACATCAAGGTTAAATAATGTAAGCTATTCAGTAAAATAGCAAAAAAATTATTCCAAGACAAAAGAGATTTACAATAAATAAATTATAGATTGCTGGGCTTTTCAGCATATCGATTGCAGGAAGATCTAGTCTAGATACGACTGGATTGGGTATTAGATAGTTGAACCCACTTTGAGGTTTGGCATGGAACAGATGCAGTCGACAGAAATAGGAACTCGTAGATTATTGTTTAAAATGATCACGTTCTCTATATCGATTTTAAACCATTAAGTGAGAGTATTGACATAAGTCTGGTCGCCACTAATCTAGTTCAATATTTTACCAGACGCTTAAATAACAACCAGTCAGAAAAAAAAGTTTTCGTAAAAGTGAACGTAAAGTTCTAGGGTGAAGTTTAGACGGTGATCATTTTTCTGGTTTTGTTAAGTAACTTATGTTAAGGTAGCTTGTCACTCAAAAGGTAGCCACAAAGAAAACTGTAGGATGATAACTGTATAAAGTGAGAGCGTGATCAAAGACACTAACTGGGATCAACAGCTCTTTTACAGTAGTAAGTAGCTAATGTTGCTTTACGAACCCTTTTCGCCAAGTTCAACTTTCAGCTGAGTGTAGAGCTGAGGATGAGACCCAGATATTTGAGATGTCTCATGTATCAAAACAGTGAGAAGACTAACCGTAGTTTTTGTTATTACATTGTGTGCTATTTTTGATCAATTATTTGGTCTCTTTGGAGAATTTGAGGGGATCTAATAAGTGTACCCTTGTTATCTGTATCAGGATAGAGTAGAAATAATTACCTTCATATCAAAGTCGCTAAATTTATAGTGCTAGACAATGATATAGAAAGTGATAGTTGGATTCTCCCTCCTATTCATCATGAAAACTCTTAGGGTTTTTATAGTTCTAGAGAATGATATAGAAAGTGATAGATTAATTCTCCCTCCTATTCATCATGAAAACTGTTAGGATTTCTATAGTGCTAGAGAATGATATAGAAAGTGATAGATGGATTCTCTTTCCCATTCATCACGAAAACTCTTAGGATTTTTATAGTGCTAGAGAATGATATAGAAAGTGATAGATTAATTCTCCCTCCTATGAAAACTCTTAGGATTTTTATAGTGCTAAGGAATGATATAGAAAGTTATAGATTAATTCTCCTTCCTATTCATTATGAAAATTCTTAGGATTTTTATAGTGCTAGAGAATTACATAGAAAGCGATAGGTGGATTTCACCTCCTATTGATCATGAAAACAATCTAAAGATGAGCTTGTCGTAACAAGATTAAAAAATATAATATATAATATTAGTTCAAATTAAAAGTGAAAAACTTATATCAGTGAAATTAATTTACTTGAAATTTCAAGTTTTTCGAACTATATTATGAGTTTTAAGAGCATTGTACTCTTATAAATTTATTATTTCTTGTATTTTAATTGAAATATTACTACATATTTTCGTGTTTATTAGAACAATGTCAAGTTTTTATACTTTAAAAATATAAACACTAATTCATATAGTGCAAAATAAAATTTTCCTATAAATTTTTACCAAAAATTTAACTTTTTAACTTAAGCTTAAACGCCTAAAATCATGCAATAACTTTTTGGATTTAAAATAGAATTCGTGCTACTTTAATAAGAATTTTGATTGTCAAAGTTAAGAATAAAGTAAATACAAACAGAAAAGTTTCATGGCATGTAAAATATTAAAATTTAAGTTAATAAAAATTCCATCCAAAATGTTATTGTTTAACAACTATAAAAGCAGAATAGCATAGCTTTTTTCATAAGTAAACATTGTTCTTCTGATGACTGAAGCCTCGAAAATCAAGCCCTCGATTTTCGTTTTCACGATTTTTCATTTTTAAGGGAAATATAAAAAATTGCGTGGCATAAAATCACGCCTGCTTTTACACTGTGTGGTTTGTGTTAGTATTTGTTTATATATATCTGTGTATGTGTGATGGTGGTTATTGTATATATATATATATATATAAGTCTTTAGCTAACTTTGGTATTTCTGCTCGAAACTACATGGAAAAGATTATCAACGAAATATGTTGATTTTTCCTACTTGTTATTTGGTCTAAAAAATGACGGTGACGATTGCGTTTGGTTTAATTAAATGCCAGGCAAGGAAAAAATAACAGCAAATAAAAAATGCCAACACACCCTCGACAATTTGCGGTCATTTCCTTAGATTTCATCGGTTCTGTTTGGATATTGCGAACATATTGTATAAGTTGATTTCGTTTCCGAAGGCATAAAACATTCACTTACGTGCTTAAAAATACTTTATTGAAATGACTAATAGAAAGTTGTGATTACAGGGCTTTCAGTTTCCTTCCCTCACGATATCAGGTGGTTGGAACATGAATTGGGTCAAGAAAAGTAAACAGTTTTCAAATAGTAACTGCAGAAAAAGTAGTTAGAATAGAAAAAATAATAGAAAGAAAAGAAATATCTACAACTATTTTATGAGATTTATAACTTTGCTTAGGGAGATGACTTATTTGTTTTAGAAATGCGTTATTATTGCAAATTACTTTGTTATTGAAAATTACTATATAGTATATATATATATATATATATATTTTAAATTACATGTCGAATTATTGTGCCATCAGATAGAAAATTTACCCAACGTGGATATAACAGAATTGGATCGGTTTTTGTAATATTA